TATATATATATGCATATATATACATATACATATGTACATATACATATAAGGCCAAATTACCTTATTTATTATATATATATATATATGTTATATATATGTGTATATAAAAGGTCATTTTAATAGACTGTTCGTGCTATCAGTGTGTATATTCCCTGTTAGTGATATTACTAGGATGCTGTTACACGGCTAGCGCAGTATGCCAAGTCGTTTAGTCCTACGCTGCATTATATATACAAATAATAAAGCAAAACCGATAGAAATGCTCTTTAGCCCATTTCTAACTGCCGACCAGGCCACCTGGGAAACTAAAACTTGGTTCTTCAGTATTTGATGGACTTGCAGCCGCAAAACCACACTCTTACTGTACTGGATGTCAAGACATGACCACAGATATGAGTTCATCTCTTCATTTGGAGCATATATACAGTTTTGTTTCTCATGAGTACACTTATTTTTAACCCTTTTTAATCCTCCGGTTAGCAGATCGAAAGTTTTGAATAAAAATGAAATGCACACCTACACACAGACACTTGATACGTCTTTGCGTTTCATTTGTTATACAAAAGCGCACATAAATGGGAGGTCACTTCAGCAGGCCATAACGAGCATGCGTTTTTTATTTAAATCAAAACACTCATTTATACCTTACTGAGACAAATGCGCACGGTCATTTCTGGCAAGGAGTCTGAGTAGTTTGCAAACGATGCGTTATTTTTCTGATCAGAATTTGCTAGGCTAACATTTGATAAACTGGTTAGAAAATCTTTTCAGAAGACAGGGCAGCACTGCTTCCCTGAATTAAGTCTGAGGAGTGTTTCTAATTGTTTGCATAAGACCCGATTTAATTATCTTTGGCAAATATCCGAAAGCTATCAGTTAAACGAAATCCGCACCGATACATTTTTTACGATAAAGTAGACAAACGAATATTTCTTGCGACCAGACAAAGTTAGCCGAATGCTGGCAAATTTTTGACGATTTACGACTAATTCAATGGTTTGAAATCGAATGAACGATGATGCCTCATTCACTTTTTATTGGTATCTCGGCCTTTCTCAGAGTTTTTATTCTCGTAAGTTTTGTTAATTTATGAACAATTCCCCTTTCATGCAATTACTACCGTAGCGCTTTTCGTGTTGTTATTGGGGAAATCCGTCTCATTTTTCATTCTGACCCAAAGAACTGCATTTATGATTTTGATCTCTACAAGTACTACTTATCCATCTGTGAATTTTCCACTGAAAAACAGTAAATTGTTCATGCGGACAAGCTACGAAGCTGAAATTTTACAAGCGTATTGAATATCTGTCTGTCTATGGTCCAAATTCAGCTTAGAGGGTAATTTCGCTGACACATGATTTGTTTCATATGATTTTGGATGACGAAAGTGGATAACTTGCATCGTATGCTCCAATCTATTCCATGTTTTGTTAAGCGCCGAAAAAGCATACCTATGGTCTGTCTCAAAGCACTAGTAAGGTGAAGAGGAAGATTTTTAGGGATCTTCATTGGTGCTTTTAAAACAATTCTAAATCTATTAAATCACAGATGCAGCAGAGTGAAGAGGAAAATTTCCAGTTGCCGGATATAGCTGGAATAAAAACTTCCAGTTCCTGGGCAAGCATCTGGTTATTTAATAGCAGTATTGCTTGGGGGAACTTGTTGTAGTTTAAAACCTTTAACGTCATCCCTTTTAACAACCGAATTTCCATCAGGCAATGCTGAATTTCAGTTGCTAGTATTCATCTCAGTGATTTTAATATTTACGGCTCCCGGTGTCTGCTATACGCGCTACATCAACGATATCCAGGCAAGTGATGAAATATGCCCGAGTGATAATTTCCTACCGATGGGCGTCAATCGATGGAGTAATGGCGTGCATTTTCAGCACCGCGGACAAAAGTATTCCGATTTTTCTTCGTTTTTTTTTTTTTTTTTTCAAGTGTGAACTGCATTTTTTCAAAAAAAAAATAAATTGGACAGCTTGCAAGCCTCGCTGAGTCGGATGTTGGTAGTGATTCTAGTGTTTTTTTTTTTTTTGATCATAATTTTTGTACTGTCATTGGAAGTGCTTCATCTAACAGAATTTTGCGAAGTGCTCCTCTTCAACAATTTTTTGGCAGTTTCGCTGTCCCCTTTTTCTTCGATCAGCGAGCGTTAAAACCGCTGAGGTGAGGCAAAACTTCTGGTAGCCAAAAAAGGCTCTGGCAAAGATTCAGCCAATATGTAAATTGCTTTCGATCGGTAATTGTTCCAGTGGAGAGGCATCGGGATATTGTACTTTAACGTATGTTGTCACATATCAGCTGGGTCTGGCGTCATGCCAGTGACAAAAAACAAGTGCGATTCGTTCAATGCAGCTTTTTTTATGTTGCTTTTTTTAACGAACAAGCGTAGGTAGTGGTGGTGCGGTGGTAGTGGTAGTAGTAGTAGTAGTCGTAGTAGTAGCAGACATCTAGAGTTGTAGAGTACTGGGCGTTGTTGTTTCAGCTGGCTTTGCAAAAAAGCCTCACTATTACGAATTAGTAAGCCGATGTGCTACTGCTGCTGCTGTTGCAAATATCAATGTGTTTGGAAAATAGCACCGTGAGTAACTTAGATTGCATGAGCTTATGCCCACAACATTGATAAAACGTAAAGAGCTGTAAGAACGAAGATTCAAGTTTAGTGCAAAAACACATGACTGCACTGGAAACCCTCGCGAGTGTTGCTGGCTGAGCTGAAATACCTTTGCTGTAAAAAGGATGTCGCTTTCATCGTAGATTCTGTTTCTTGAAGCTTATTCATAAACAGTTGCAAATATTAGCCAATATTAAGTAATGTAACATCACAGAGAACGTACAGTAAGCTGCATAAACTGTAATTTTCAGTGTTTGGGGTCAACTAGCAATCGTTATCATAGCAATTTTGTTCGCATTACCTCCGCTTGGACTAAGCTGTTTTCAGATCGCCACCGGCACTTCGCTGTTTTATATGGTAAACTGTTTAACACATAAATATCTCAACCTTGTTCTCTTGTAGTCGTAGATGAAAAGCTAACTTTCTTCATAGATGAAAAGCAGATCTTATAAAGAAGGTGCTGACAAAATGGGCAATTTATGATGAGAAAGTTAGCTCTTCTGCACTCGTATACTGTCATCGGGTAGTAGTGTATTGGCTACAGTTCACATCCAATTACTTCGTTGGAAAAAAAAGCTATGCCCAAAATTTAAAAAATCCGGCTGAATTTTGACTTAAAATTAGATTAGAATTCACCAAGGCTTGAAACCTTACTTCAAGCTATTCGGCTCGAATTGCTTGAGAAACAGTGTTCCAAAATTTTCGATATGCATCTTTCTTAGTTTGCTCGTCCATTTTCAAAAAAGTTTTATTTAGAAGCCATAGATCTGAACACGGAAAAAAATACAAACTAATTTTTAAGTCTTAAAAGAGGTACTAACAAGTTCCCATTCTTCTAGCTTCCATTTTTTACAGGTTAGAGCTTAAGGACAGTCGGAATCATATGCACTTTAATCTAAACTTCGTTCTTTTTCATGCAAACACATATAAAAACCATTTTGAGAATTACATCTACAGGCGTAGGTGCATATTTCTGTGTGCTTATTTTTTTATTTTATGTGCCTGTCATTATAACTCATCAGCTTGTGAATGATGGAAGCTGAAACTTTACTCTTAAGCTATTTATAAGGCAGCAGGTTTGAAAGTGGCTTTACTCAGCAACTCCTAACCTACAACCTCAACAGTGCAAAGTTTTACTCAGTGAGCTAACTACAGTATTTCTCAATTTCCATAATTCAGTTCGACAAAAATACAAAGGAAAGGCCAGAAAATCTTGTTTTTCTTCTGTATTTCAAAATCTTATACAGATTAAGGTTCAGACTAGTTGTTGTACACTAAAACCAACAGTCAAAGTGATATCATTTAAAAGTATACATTAAATGTGCAAGTATCCGTACTGTCACGGACTTTTTATCGTTTTGCCGGTTTGTCTGCTCCTGACCTTCATCACATCATTATCATTTTGATAGTAATTAAGTAATTAGCAGCAAAACTTTGCTTTCAAACTCTATTCATTTTTGTTAGAAAGCTGTGCGCTTTGAAACTGAGCTCGCTACTACCTCACTGTGAATAAATATTCTGTAGCAAATTTGCTTGGCAGCAGTTTCGATATTGGTATTTCTCACACTTGGAGGTGTCGAGACATGGTACGCAACAGGCTACAGTCATATGGGACCTCTGATAAGGCAAATTGGTGGTGGTCAGTTCAGTGGCTGCATGGGGATGCTCACTTGCGATGTGCTTTTTGTGGTCAAAGGCTGGGCTGTCGCTGCGGTTTGTTTGTCCTGTTATTTGCCGGTATACAAGGCATTTCGTATATCAGTTTTATTGAAAACTTGTAGGTTGAAGTCTATTAACTGCCATATACTTACCATCGTTGTACACTCAGTTTTTACCGGAATATTAGTCAATTTTAAAAGCGATTTTAAAATAAAAGTTATTAGCTTGTACGAAGAATTTCAGGCATTCTTATTCCTTTGTGCTGTTCTATTCCTCGTGGATGCTATAATGCAATTTCTTCGAAGGGACAAGTGAACATTTTTTTCGCTTGTAGTACTAATTTACTAGTTTTTGTTTGGAGGATCACTGGAAGTTACAGTACGCAAAGCTACTTGTCATCTGCGATCAGTTTTTTATGCGTTTTTGCTGTGCAGTGCTATAGTACTGCTACAGCCAGCAAAAACGCATATTGTCGAGAGGCTGTCTATGTGTGTGTGTGTTCGGGAAGCAAGTGCATTTTGTCACTCACTTTCATCTCGGCAACCAGGAAAGCTGGGAGATTGAAACTTTGGATATATGTTCCTACCCCGTGTGTCATCCTCCCGTTTTAAGGTCTTTCCCCATACG